TAGCCAGGCATGGTGGCACGCACCTGTAATCCCAGCTACTCGGGAGGCTGAGGCAAGAGAATCACTTGAATCAGGAGGAGGAGGTTGCAGTGAGCTGAGAACATGCCACTGCACTCCAGCCTGGGTGACAAAGAGAGATTTTTATTTTCTAAAAATAAAAATAAAACCCATATAGAAAGGATGCAGGAGTGGAAAGCAGAGACAAATCCGCATCTACCAGAAGGAGAAGTCTTAATTAAAAATGCAGTTTAAAATTGATGAATCAAGAAAAAGTGGTCTAAGTGTGTTCTTTACAAAGATGAAGTAAACACCACAACAGAGTCGCTAACTTTGAGGAGGGCTCTGTACAGTGAAGTGCTATACTTTTGTATATGCCTTTTAGTACTATTTAACTTTTTATTTTTTAACTATGGGCATGCCTGTACGATTTGCTCTGATTAAATCTAAGGCCAAGGCGTAGTGGCTCACATCTGTAATCCCAGAACTTTGGGAAGCCAAGGTGGGAAGATCACTTAAGGCCAGGAGTTCAAGATCAGCCTGGGCAACATAGCAAGACCCCATTTCTACAAAAATATTTCAAAGACTAGCCAGATGTGGTAGCAAGCACTTGTAGTCCCAGCTACTCAGGAGGCTGAGGAGGAAGGATTGCTTGATCCCAGGAGCTGACGGCAACAGTGAGCTATGTTGGCACCACTGCACTCCAGTCTGGGTAACAGAGCAAGACCCTATCTCAGGCCAGCCTAGGCAACACAGTGAGACCCTGTCTCCACAAAAAATAAAAAAATTAGCTGGACGTGGCAATACACGCCTGTGGTCCTAGCTACTTGGGAGGCTGAGGCAGCAAGATCAGTTAAGCCCAGGACTTCAAGGTCACAGTGCAATATAACCACTGGGAGATAGTAACACTGCACTCCAGCCTGGGAGACAGAGCAAGAAGACCCTGTCTCTATAAATTAAAAGCAACCCTGTCTGGAAAAAGAAAAATCAACAATAACTACAAAAAGTTACACATGAGCAACAAAAGAAGGACTCTCTTCCCTCTCCACTGATAAGGTGGCTGAAAGGAGCCTTGCCGAAGGGCAGTAGTGGGGCTGACCAGGTCCCTTCTTTTCTGTTCTCCTTCCTGCAAGCAAGGGCTAAGGAAAGAAATCAGGCTGCGAATCAGAATTTGTGAGACTTCCGGCTACTCACAGACTCTCCGATTCTCAGTTTATTCATCTGCAAGATGGAGATGTTATGTGCCTTGCCACCTGACTAGGTGTGCTGAGAAGCTCAAGGAGATAAGTGCTAAGGGCCTTTATGAGTGACCCAGGGCTGCACCAACATTATAAAATTGCTATTATCACAGGGATTCACATTGCTATAATCTAGGCTTATCAGAAGCAAGGATGGCAATCTGGTGACAATTTACAAAGAACTCTTCAAAATTCATTTCTCAAACTTAAAATGTCTCAGATGACACGAAAATTCCAATCCTCCCTAATCCCACAAGGACTGACGAGAGAAAAGGAAACCCACAGGCAGTCACGCTGAAGTTGACAAGATCCATCTTCTTGCCTATAGCCTCAGTCTAGGGGCCAGACCAGCTGGTAGGTTCCCAGCAGGGCCCATTTCTGCATCAGATGCTCACCAGGAAAGTAAGGTAAGAACCACTCCTGAGTTTCTGCAGGTCCACAATCATCTCGCCTGTTGTAGAATATGTTTGTTAAGGAGAAAAGGAGCTGATAGTAACCATAAGCTGGCCAGCAGTGCACTAGCTAAACACTTTCCATGCGATGTCTCATTTTATTCTCACAGCCCCTGAGAATGGCTCTGCCATTATCTAGTCCCCATATGAGCAAACGGAGGTTAGCGAAGTCAAGAACCCTGAAGTGTAGGCATGGTGGCCCACCCCTGCAATCCCAACACTTTGCAGGGCTGAGGCAGGCAGATTACCTAAGGTCAGTAGTTCAAGACCAGCCTGGTCAATATGGTGAAACCCTGTCTCTAATGAAAAAAATACAAAAATTAGCCAGACATGGTGATGGGTGCCTGTAATCCCAGCTACTGAGGAGACTGAGGCAGGAGAATCACTTGAACCCAGGAGACGGAGGCTGCAGTGAGGTGAGATCATGCCACTGCACTCCAGCCTAGGTTACAGAGTAAGACCCTGTCTCCAAAAAAAAAAAAAAAAAAAAAACACCCTGCCCAAAGTCACAGAGCCAGTGAGAGGCAGAGATGGGATTGGAACCCAAGGCTATCTCTAAGACAGTATTTTATACCAGCTCTGGTTGTGGCAGAATAAAGGGCCTAGGACATGGTGGCTCACACCTATAACCCCAGTACTCTGGGAAGCCAAGGCAGAAGGATCACTTTAGGCCAGAAATTCAAGAATGGCTTGGACAACATAGTGAAACTCCATGTCTACAAAAAATAAATTTTTTTTTAACTAGCTGGGTATAATTGTAGACACCTGTAGTTCCATCAATTCAGGAGGAGTGCTTGAGCCCAGAGCTCAAGGCTGCAGTGAGCTATGATCACACCACTGAACTCCAGCATGGATAACAGAGCAAAACTCTGGTATCTTATAAAAAAAAAAGAAAGAAAAAAAGTGGGGGGAAAAAAGCCCAAGAAAGCTTCTTCAGCGTAAACTGAACAAACCAGGCATGCTCCTCCTGGTTTCCGCCCTTCTAGCCAGCCCATGTAACAGCAAGCAAAATTCTCCCCACACTGTATTTATGGAAAATTACAGACTCCTAACATGGCTAATTTGCTAACATGCTGGGGGCTTGAGGGAGGGAGACAAGCATGCTGAGGGCTTTGTTCTCCCAGGCCTTTACCAAATCAGCGGTTAGCAGGGAAATTATACATTCCTGGCTCCTCGCTGATCATCTTTTATAGATGGCCATTAACTCTGAGTATGGGGCTATGCGTGCAGTTGTCCTTCAGAGAAGACACACTTACTGCCATTGGGCTAATTAAAACTTTCAGGATAATCTGCAGCTTATCCGATATTTATAGCTCTACAGTACTTATTAAAGCTAACAGAGAACCAGTGCAAGCCAGCAATTAGGAAGCAGAGGGAACAACTGGGTAAAGCCACAGCTGGGCAACAGCAAAAGAATAGCTGGAGAAATTCAGATTAATCCCCATGGTCTCTGATCTAACTTGACTTCTGAATGAAGAATGTGGTGACTCTTTAAAGGGCCAAAGGTAGAATGATAGGGCAAGGCCAGCCATTTGATAAATCCCAGTAGGAGAGGAAGTGGAAGTCAAGAGTGAAGTCACAAATATGGTCTGCAGAACCCTGACACAGGTTATCCATGTGGTTTTCTGGGGACCCTAGGAGGCAAAGAGCAGAAGCAGCTCACTGGATGGCAGAGAGAGGTTCTGGCCTCCATCTCTCATAAGAATATTAGCTCTCAGTCAGGTATGGTGGCTCACGCCTGTAATCCCAGCACTTTGGGAAGCTGAGTGGGCAGATCACAAGGTTAAGACATCAAGACCATCCTGGCTAACATGGTGAAACTCCATCTCTACTAAAACACAAAAAAAATTAGCCAGTCACAGTGGTGCTCGCCTGTAGTCCCAGCCACTCAGGAGGCTGAGTCAAGGGAATCGCTAGAACACCCGGGAGGCAGAGCTTGCAGTGAGCAGAGATCACCACTGTACTTCCAGCCTGGTGAAAGGGCGAGACTCCATCTCAAAAAAAAAAAAGAAAGAATATTAGCTCTCAGGCCAGGCACAGCAGCTCACACCTGTAATCCCAGCACTCTGGGAGACTGAAACAGGCAGATCACTTGAGGTCAGG